CACGCGTGGGACCCCCCATCACCGACGCCCTGGGGGAGATCGGGGCCCGCTGCCCTTCGCCGCTGCAGCACAGCCTCTGGAAGAAGGAGGCTGTGGCCATCGTCTGGGCTAAGGTCCTGCTGCCGGGCCCCCCGGCCGCCTCGCTGGACCAGGGATGGAAGGAGGACGGGTTTTTCTCCGTGGGCATGATGATCCCCGACGTAAACCGCACCGTTCTCTTCGAGCTGGTCAAGGCCCTCGGTGCGCCCCGGCTCTTCGTGCAGCTGCTGCTGGCGCTGCCCCAGGATGTGCACCGGAGCGAGCTGGAGCACTTGGTGGAGTACGTCGCCAGCGAGACGTCCTCGTCGGACATCGCGTTCTTCTTGGACGTGTGGTGGGAGGTGATGAAACACAAGGAGGGAGAGGAAGACGCAACGGTGTCTACGTTCAGCGCTCTCATATGTCAGCATGGGTGCGAGCCCTCTCTGGATGACGGTCTCCAGCCCCCAAAGAGGTTCAAGGGTGACCCAGGCGCTCTGAACGACCCCCCTGCAGCCACCAGCCCGCTCATGGTCCTGATAGAGGGGTTAAAGCAAACCTACCAGAGCATTGCCCTGCCCCGCCTGAGGTGCTACGCCTTGGCCAACCTGGTGGAGCTGCTGACCGTGTTCACCGAGTTAGAGCCAGAGGGCAGCCCCCTCCCTGTCGCAGAGTACCTGGACAAGGTCAGCTCTGTGGTCAGCCTCTGGACCAGCGACACTGAAAGTCAGTTCCACCACAGGGGGCTGGACGAGAAGGTGAAGGAAGCAGAGAGAAGCATGAACCTCTTGCCCTTGGCCAAACTCTCTCGTGAGGAGCTCTTTGTTGGTTTGGACTTTCTCTGCAGCTTGTTGCGTGCCTGGGGAGAGGAGCTGCAGGGCACCCTGAACAGCTCTGAGGAGCTCTGCTATGAGAGCTACCGGCTCCTGGATGCTCTTACCACTTTTGGGAAGAACTTGGTTTGCTTCTCAGAGACTAGAGACCTGGGTGAGGATGAGACGCGTGTAGTGTTAGAGCTGACACAGATCACCAACAGCTTCCTCAAGGAGATCAGCGTCAGCCTGAAGAGCAAGGATTTGGACACCAGCCTTGTGTCTTCAGTTGCTATGACAATCATTGAGCAAAAGCTGGACCGACACATGGAGATGTGCTCCATTTTCGTTTCTGAAAAGACCTGGGCCTTTTCCAAGGACTGGGTTGGCTGCCTTGTGAAAAGTAAAGCTCTCTTCCAGAAACCAGAGCTAGTTTTGAAATTACTGGAGACGCTGGTGAACTTTGCCACATCCCACCAAGACACGGAGGCCCAAGAGCTGCAGATGCAAGTGACCAAAGCCATCATGGAGTGTTACACCGAGCTTTTGTTGACTGACAAAAACAAAGTGATCTCGGGCGTCCTGGCTTCCTGGGGCGGACCAGGTCTGTCCCTGAACTTGCAGGTTGTCATGGAAGGCTTCCAGGAGGAGCTGAATGTGACTTTCAACCAGATCACAAAGAGTGTGTCTGATGAAGGCCTGACCAGGGCTGTGGCTTCTGTAGCCAGGCTCACGCTGCTGTACCCCGAGGCCACGGTGAAGCAGGTTTGTAATCTTGCTGTATTCAACCTAGGAGCGCACCAGTTCCTCGCGCAAATCCTGTGCTCCTTCCCAGCGCTGAGCTTCCTGGAGACCCGTGATGATCCAGACAGGCCACGCAGCCTGGTGGTGAGGTGTCTGGAGGAGGCAGTGTGGGGGAGGCTTTCCACTGTGAGGGAAGAGGAGCAGTTCCTTGAGTTCCTGGCCTTCCTCATGCAGCCAAGCTCAGCTGCCCCGCTTGTGTCACCTGCAGAGGTGAGCAAAGCCTTTGTCCTTCCCTATTTGAAGTCAGACTCTGCTCAAATTGAGCTGAGCCTGCAGATCCTCAGTAAGGTTTTGGGGGTGCAGGCCTGTTCAGAAGAGCACTGGATCAAGTCCTGTCACCCGTTCCCGCTTCTCCTCAGCCTCTGCAAGCTTCTAGATGGCTACACAAAGTACTGGCATCAGCCTAGGGACCAGCTCTTCCCTTCGCTGGAGACCAAAGACCTGTTGCTGAAAGTCCTCTGCCAGCTCTGTGAGGTGGTAAGACCAGAAACTGCCCCCTCCCCCGAGCTGTGGGTCCAGTCGCTGGCCTGGCTTCACAGGAAGGTGGCATCACTGGACTGGACCATTGGTCTTCGGCTGAAGAAGCTTTATGGAGACCACTTCAAGAACGAGGTCCCGGCGACGCTGTTTGAGATCTGCACGCTTCCTGAGGACGAGTGGACGTCCCGGCCTTTGCCAGCCTATGGACCAGGCAGCGGTCTCCTGGCATGGATGGAGTGCTGCTGCGTGTCCACGGCGCTCAGGGAGACGATGCTGACGCTCCTCACGGTCAACGTGGACAACCCTGAAGAAGTGAATCTCTTCAGCAAAGGGTTCCTGGTGGCCCTCATACAGGTCCTCCCTTGGTGCAGCCACAGTGAATGGAAGAGGCTCGTGCACGTGGTCGAAAACCTGCTGCAGAGGCAAATCCTGTATGTGCCGTACACGCTGGAGTACGTGCAGTACATGCCCCTGCTCAACCTCCGGCCGTTTGCCTGCTACCTCCAGTTCTCCGTGCTCTTCCTGCGGGGCTTCCAGCTCCTCTGCAGCTCCAGCTGTTCCACCTGGTTGCCAGCAGAGGCTTGGTTCCACGTGGTCCAGCTGTACTGCAGTAGCCTCACAGACCT